TGGTAGGTATTGCTGAACCTGAGTATTGCATGATCCTGAGGCCATTTTGCCCTTCAAGCAGTGCTCCATCCAGATGCCGCAAGCCAAGCAAAGATCAGACGTCACAGCTGTAGTCGTTCATTTGGACGGGAATCGGTGGTGTCCTTACCGTTTTGCGAACAAGCTGTTGTGAGTCGGCTGCTGCATGTAGCTGCCGAAAGTGTGATTTTGGAGCAAATGTCGATGTACAGTAGTTGCAATCTATCCTGGCTGCTACTCACTCTCTATGCATCCCGTGAGGCCAAGCGTTTTCCTGGAGGGGTCCGCTTTGACACATCCACAGCAAAGGCTAGAATCGGATGTTAGTCTTTGCTGCAAGGTTCTTGCCAGAGGGCTGACCTTGCTTCAGGACTTTATCAGGCACAGGATTACCAACGTCAATGATTTTGACAAAGAACTGCCTGAAACCCAGATGAGACGTCATCATGGCATCAAAGACTACTGGGGACTGACGACGATGATGATGATGATGATGATGACTTAATGCAGTTGGATTGACATCGACGCAGAATCATCCAACGACTGCAAGGTCAAGACCACCCTTGCGAGCTCCAGCAGAGCACACCTGGCCTGAACTTGAAGTGTGCTTGAGTGGGCAAAGTGCAGCTTGCGAAGAGACGCCTCCGGCTACTGTAGCAGGTATCATGATACGAGTGCAGCGGCCTGAGTCAACACAAGTCACATGCATTGATCATTTTCATGCATGCATTGTTTTGATACTGTAGAGTAGAGACCTTTGCCACGAGTGACGGCCCAGCGTTCGCTTTTGTGTGCTTGAACTTCTAAGGATCCTGTTGCCTGCGAAGTAACGCTGCGTGCCGTCCTTGGCAATGATATGCCTTGATCGTTGACGCTTTGAACTGTTGGTACAGTTTGCTATATAGATTCTATATGATTCTATATATGTGTGCTGAGGGTTTTCCTACATTCTAGAGCCCCATACTAGTCAGGTTGCCCGGCCTGATAATCACCTTCTATTTGCATAGGTATGACCAAGGCTTCCTGAAAGCCAAGAGGCCACGGCCACCTTTGTAATTGTTGGTGCTCCAAATGTACCTGGCACCAAAGGATTGACAGTGGAACCTGTGGGCCAGCTGACCCAAATCCTCGGACATCCTCCGACCAAAAAACGTGGTTTTCAATGGTTGTCCTTTGCAATCCTTTGTTTTTGAACAGATGCTACCGCCCGCGCCCTCAAAGCCCTATGGCCTGCCGGATAACACGTTAGGCTTGTAGTAGAGTTTTTGAGTTCGTGAAAGAATGCATGATGGAACAATTTCAAGTACATTACATTGCAGGGACACTGAATACCTGCGTTTTCAGACTCCGTCATTTTATTGGCAGGAGTACCTAAAGAACCACGAGACAGTTGTTTTTCAACAAAGTGGTTCTCTTTTTAACACGGTGCTAGATAATACTGGGACTGTATTTCAACCGCCAGCCTTTCATTCCGGGCCTTGACCAGGCAGGCAAATGAACTACAACGCAGATGTTGCAGACCTATGTGTCTCTCAGTCGCAATAAGTTCGAGACTTGCCGAGCAAGTTCACTTGAAGTTGATTCCAAGTGTACAAGTTGTCCAGCGAGGTAGCCCACCGGCGAGACATGGCGTGATTCCGGCATGAACTTAGCTCAAGACATCCTCAAGATCTTCCTCAAGGTTATGTCTGCAGCTCAAACTGCTTTCGAACCTAAAAGAGCCCGACAATGGGCCAGGCCAGAATATGACCACATGCTGCCGCGGGGGAAAGCTTCTGTGTGTAGCTCAGATGGTCCTCGTTTGTTTCAGGATGCTAGAAAGGGTGCATTGATGACTTGAGACCTGTCAGTAGTGGGTGGGACACGGAACCATTAATAAGGTCCAAGGTTTGCGCGCTCTTCAAACGGATGTGGGCAAGAGCCTCAGAACGTGCTTGCAAGTGCTTGCTTTGTTTACTTGGTTTTTCCAGAGAAGCAAACTGATATTTCAGGCAGTTTTGGACTCGTTAGACTTGGAGTCAGAGTACCCAGACTTTGTGTCTTCTATGTCCAGAATAAGGTGTTCGCGGGTCAGTTGGCCTTGGTTTCATTGAGACCACGGGCCAGCGGACGCTCCCGGTGGAACAGCGAGATTCTCAGGTTTTCCGAGAACCACGCAGTTTATTGCAGACATGCAGAAGCCGGGAAGACACGCTCGGACATGAAGGACACAACAAGACATGCTCGTCACTCGCACAATGCAGGTTGGAGGGCAGGAATTCTGCCTGGAGCCGCAGGGTTGACAGGACTTGCGTGTGACTGGGGTGTCATGCCAGGAGGGAAGAAAGTTCCACAGTCTTTTGCAAGGGGGCCTGTAGCGTTCCTTCAACTCAAATAACTCGTCATACCATCAATCATCAGTATTAGTATTTTAGCACCAAAGCAGCACAAATGCTATGTGTAGTCAGCATTGATTGGCGGATCGTCCAAACATGCCACACTGTATATTATAGTCACATATTTGCTTGATGTTGACTTGCCAATGTTCCAACTAGTGCCCTGCCAAGAACGCAGCCTATCACCGTGGCGATGTTGGCCCCAAGCGAACTCCCTAGAACTGGCTTCATGTTGAGGACCTTTAACAGCCTGCAAATTGAATGATGACCTCTTGCAATCATCAGAAGCAGCAAGTTGGAGCGTACTACTAGCGCTATACTGATGCATGAACTGTGTTGCCGGAATTGCAAGTTGTTTGCAATACCACCTGGTACAGTATCAGATTGAAGGCTGAATGTCAAGAGTCCGAGGTTTGATCATCGTACACTGTTTGAGGCTTTGTGCGTCTTGCCCTCGACCCTGTTTTGTTGAGATGGAAGAATGGTCAAGAGTGATTAGTTTTGAGCTGCTTGACACCTGGTCGCAACTGCACACCCGAAGCAATCGCCCAGTTGGAGACAAACTTTACTCAAGGGCATCCAATTGTCCACGGCGATTTTGCCAGGGCCTGAGAATGCAGTAAGGGACAAACAGTATTGTGCTGTCGTGGTAGTAAAGCATTCTCCCTGTCCCCTGTCAACATTCATGGGGATTTGCGGTTTCTCAACTCTGCGGCGCACCGTGTTTGTAAGATTGCATGACCAAGGAAAAGAAGCCTCCTCCTTTGAAGAAAGCCAAAGTTGAGGCTGAGTTCAAACGCCAGGCAAGGCACTGGTCGTTGAGATTCACAGGCCGCCTCTCCAGAAAGATAAAATTGAAGGAAAGGTCAGTCTCCTTGGAGATTAACTCCGGCAGGTGTTTTTGGCAATCGTTGCTGTTTGCTTTGCCAGGCTGTGAAGGGCTTCACAAAAGGTGTAAAGGCCTTCCTTGAAGAGGGTCATTGCTTGTTTCACAGAATTAACATGTGATGTTGGTCTCTACTGACTGGTAGACTGTCCAAATAACCTATTCAGCAATGATACTATTCGGCTCAGGCTTGAGACTGATTGTGCCCTTTGTTCTTTCAGGGGCTGCCAGAAAAGCCGCCTGAAGCGCGAGGTGGCTTGCGCTGATGACTGATGGGTTCTTCCTTCTTTGGTGCTGGGAAGCTGAGTCTAGGTGCCTTCCGGCGAGTTCGAAGCCTGCCTCAGGCGCCGTGGAACAAGGTTGAGCTTCTGCCGGATTGATTTGACAAATAGTAGCCACACAGAAGTGGGGCTTTTTGCTGGGCTTTCTGTTGCAAAGTAGACAACATTTGACATAGATAGAGTATGATACAGTAGATGATTTCTGACAACATGCATAATATGCAATCACTACAAACTCATCCGGAGGCCGTTTGTATCCTTTTGTTCCTTTGCGAGTTGAGGACTGACCAGCATGTAGTCTATAGGAGGGAAAGCATTGGCATAGGCCAGATATCCTCTAAGTGAACAATCGTAATCCATCGGACATGCGCAGAGCACAAGTATCAAACTATGTACAGCAACCAGTTTTTCTGTAATTTGTCCTTGGTCAACCGCTCGCAGTGCTGCATAGCAGAAGCCTTTGATCTCGGCGGCAGGTTGGACCACCGGTGGTTCGAAGGGCCCCACCTCCACCTGAAGAGGTCCACCTAGTTCGCTTCAAGAGCCACACAGATGCGTGTTATGAAACGAAATGCAAAGATTACATTCTGTTAAAATAAAGACGTGTAGCATCGTGTCGAAGCACATGGCACACACGGAAGACATTCTGAGACGGTTCACAACGCAATGAGCCGATGTTTGACACAAACTGGTTGGTCAGTTGGAATTGCCCACCCCTTTGTCATGATTGTGTATCTGATTGTATTTGAGTATTTGCAGTGCAGCTCAACACCCTTTCGCCTTGGTGTTTTGCAATGTCGTGCAGGGGACGGAAGACTGGTCCAAGCTTCTACGAGGGTTGCGAGGGTTGAAATCTCATAGCTCACCAGAGCTGCTTGTATGAGAGTTGACAATGCCAAAGCATCAAAGACCTAGTTACATCGAGGAGCCAGCGTCAACTCTCGCAGAGGTGTGTTCTCGTTAATGCATGACAGACTCCAAAGGAGAATGTCATTGTACATCGTGTTGAAGTGCACACTTTAACCTATCCCTGTGTTTGGTGGTGCTGTTATCTGGCTTGGTGTTCATCCAAAATGTTTCCAGAGACGTGTGTTTCGGTGGCCTGGGTACCGACCGCACAAAGGCTGCTGCAGAGAGTTTCAAGCTGATTCGCAAGATGCGAACTGCAAAAAGAGGGTCCAAGGTCCAATTGCTGTGTTACATTCAGGACATTGGAGCCCACGTGTTGTTTCAACGACCACGCGGAATGATTTTATGTTCCATGCTGACGGCTTGACACAGACGAGCCAAGGCTTTCTCCAATCACAAGCCTAACCTACCAAGAACACAAGGGACACAGAACATCCTGAGGGTTAAGACATGGATTAACAAGTTTGTCCTTTCCTAAAGATTCGAAAATGTTAAAAACGTAGCCACTTCGCACACCAGTTTCATTCAATAGCAGAAACACATGGCGACACCAACCGGTCCTCCGGTTTCAGATGTTTGCCTTCGACGAACTAGACCAACAGGCGTGCTGCTCTTCAGATCCATTCCTTGTTTATCAGCATCATGTTCATTCGTTCTCACCCACCTGACAGGAAGCAGAAGCTTTACAGCATGCCACTCAAGATGTGACAGAGGCCGGTTGAAAAGAATGTAGCAGACTTTCCAAGGGAGGACAAATGAGAGCAATGTAGCCATCTAGGTTGCAGGTCATGTGGTTCAGGACCTGAAAGGGGTCATGCCGGCACGACAAGAAAGCTGACTCATTCTCTCTCGACGCTTCCTTCAATGCGCACGGAATTGCTGTGAACTATATTACTATATTATATTTGTTTCAAGGAAGCCAAGAGTCCTCCTTATGCTTCATTCAGCTTGATGTACTTCCGTTGACTCCTGTACTGTAGGCTCTTTGGACATAAAATGACCTGAATGTATATAAGTGAATATGTACTGGAACAAGAAGCTACTAGTAGCTCCTGGCATCGCTACTAGGAACCCGGGCATTGCTACTAGTAGCAAGGACGCTAGTAGCGATCGCCTCGAGCGGTCTGGTCAGGTTCAAGGTCTCATCGACTTCGACGAGTTAGCGGAGGCCGAAAATGCCCGGAAGGACCCCGTCGGCGTCAGATGTCGCCTTCGAACGTCGAAGCGGCCTTCAGAAGCCGACTGATTGATGTTGGTGTTTCATGTGTCAAGAGAGGGATTGAAGCCATCCAGTTTTGGCCAATGAAGAAGGGTTCGTAGATATAGTACGACATTATATAGCATTATAATACATTGTGACAATGATACATTACTGTATAGTTTTGTGCTATATATAAAAATAATAGTAATAGTATTTTTTTGTAATATAATATGAGTATGATATACTATATATTGTGTATGTTCTATTTTTTCTGATTATATCATAATTCAATACAGTTTCAGAGGTGTCAGCAATGTGTGTAGGAGATTAGATGACAAAGGATGCTTGCACCCTGACAAGGAGGAAACAACCTCAAGTTGCAAGCGCCGCTGCATGGCAGAGCGTGCTCAGCCTTCTCGGGGCGCAGCCACACAAGGCATAGGCGCGGTCAAGTCTTCAACCGAAGTAATGCAATCGGCCCACGTCGACTTGAGGCAGGAATGTATCGAAAAAATCCAACAGACCTTGTCCGACCCTGGTTTTGTAATCATTTGCAAAGGAGAGCCGAAGGCTACAGAGAGGGCATGTGTCGCCCAAAATTGGAATCTTGTGAAGCTGCTTAGGGCTTGGTTCCAGAAGCGATCAACCGCCCAAATGATGACTGTCAGTCACTAGGCATATACTATGGCCTGGCCTTGCCACGCTCCGCCCCCGAGCTGCTGGGAGCGGGCGCAAATTGGCTAAGTCGCGCGTTCTGGCAAGCAAAGACCTTTCCAGAGGACTCTTTTTCCACACATGAGGCGCATGAAGAAGCACTGCTATTGTTTCAGGGAATTGAAGCAGTAGAAGTGACTTTTTTCGTTCTTTCTCAGGAAGAGACTGTTTCACAGGAGCTGGCAGTGTCCCAAATTATAGCCTTGCGGCCTCTATCAGGAGGTGTGGGTGACAACTCTGAAGAATATAGAACAGAGTTTCTGCAGAGACGTGGCATTTGCATTTTTCTGGGTTAGCATTAGCAATGCGAAAGATCATGTTATTATGAGTGATGAGTTATGAGACAATATGAGATGTAGCCGTGCCACCAGTAAACACAGCTTGTCAGGATCATACCTACTGGAAGTCACTTTGACTTCTGGTGGGCTCCTGATGCTGGCCGTAAACTTCTTCAAGGTCGGGAACTGAGCTCCAAGTGTGAGCCGAACCTCTCCAGCTTCTGACTAGATGGCAGACCGAGAATTCCGAACGCTGGTAGTTGAGTTGGATGCCTACACCATGTAAAGCAAGATTTTAGTCAAGAAGTGCAATGCCTCACACTGCGTTGTATGAGCTGAGATGAAGAAACGGACCTTTGAACTCTGCAGGAAGGCTGCCGCAAAGATGAGATTTCAGGAGCGGGATAATAGGGGCATGTTCTGCTTGAACCACGAATTGAAGAAGAACACTTGAACATACTTTCGCAAGCAGGGTGGAGGCCATCGCAAGTAGGTTGGAGGCCATTGCTATTAAGTTGGAGGCCATTGCTAGTAGGTTGGAGGCCATCTCAAAGTAACACTTGAACGCTTTAATCATTTAGTGCTCCACTCACCAGCAACACTTGACCGCATGTGTAGGTGACCTCAGTTGGTGAAAGTGCTTCAATGTGCTGTGCTTCACGCAGGGACAGAATGTAATTTAAGCTATCACCTGTAAGGCTTCTTTGGGTAGTTGTTCTCATTTCGGGTAGCTAGTGCCCAAATGTGCCCAATACTGTGGTTGGTTGTGGTGGCCTTAGCAGAATCTAGCAGAGCAAATAGAGAGAATCAATGTGCAAAGAGGGCGCTGAACATCGCTGAACCGTTTCAAGAGCCGCTTCGGCTGAGCCTTTAATTTAGAAGATGTGCAACTCAGAGGTCACCTTCAGAGACTGGCAAAGGCCAAACGCGACAAGAACCGTTCGGAGCCACATGGGAGTGTCCAAAATCACCACAACATGGGGTTCTTGATGTTCATTCCAATCAGAAAGGCCTGTGCATCAACATTGTGATAGTGCTCCGTCACATTGAGAGTCTATCTCTTCTCTGAATTAATTGAAGGCTTTGCAAACCGTTCTCACAATTGAAAGGAGTACGACCCAAAGCCTCAGTCTGAAGCTTAAAAGTTTTGAAAGAGTAAGTTGGCATGCTTGATGAAAGATTTGCCTCAAGCATCAATTTGTCTTCGCTGGATTTGGTCAGCTTGGGCAGTCGAATCAACGACTGCCCAGGGCGGTTTCTTCTTCGGTGTGAATTTTTTGCGGCTCTTGGAGTGCGAGCTGCCCGTCCCAGCAAAGTACTGCTTCGGCGACGTTTGCGATAAAGGCTCCGCAGGCCTGCTTTCACATGCTTGCCAACACGTGACAAGATGCCTTGTTGACATGGGTTAGAAAAATGTCAGGTTGAGCAAGTACAGTATATGTTTCGACAGCCTTCATCGTTCAGAGATCAGCTGGACACAGTAGTGTCGAACAATATTGAATCGAATATGGAAAAACTGTTCTGTTCTCAATGTCAGTGCTCACCAACAGTCAACAGTACTGTATCAGTCAGAGATACGGCTCGCAGGCATTCTCATCACCGAATGGTCGCGAGTTACATGCACACCTTTATCCTTTTGCTCGTCACCCAAGTGGGGCTTGCTCGAGTTCCTCGATCGCACTTCAGAAGTACTCAATGAAGGGCCCTGCCCGCTTGGTTGACATTTGGGTCCAGATTGAAGTTTGGGCCCATGAAGAATCAGAAGAATTGTCGATACGGTTGATGCAAAGTTGTTTTGAAACTAAGGCCCCGTCAAAGTTGCTTTTTGAGCCCCTTGGGCCATGAGCAGCTTTGCCTCCAAGGTGTGGTGCGTGTTTTGAGTCACTACTAGTATCCTTTTAAGAACATGCAGAAGTAAGGAGGACCTATGAGGACCTTCCATTTCCGAAATGAATTGGCTGTAACATGCTTCAACCTAGCGTGCCTGGCTATACCATTGCAAATCTAGTTTGGCTGGAAATGTTTGGACATGTAGAAGAAGGAAATTAGTTTTGATGAATCTATCCAAGTTCTGCTGATAGGCAATCCAGCGAGTTTTGGTCTTCCAACCTTAGGAGCATTGGGCCTTGGCTTCAAGCCTGCCTGTGAAATTGAGGAGAACCAGCAAGTTGAGAAGTAACATGAAGATTAAATCTCAATGCTACTGGCAAGAAAAGGCTGACTGTCGACTGCTTTGGTTTCTAGATTCTATATAGATTTGGGCGTTTGCGAGCTGTCAATAGCCGGAGTTGCATTTCTTTTTGTATGAACCCTGCTTTGTGAATAGAAACTCAGTGACTTGGCGACTTGGCATGTTTGTTTCGACACAACATATCTCAAGGAATCTTACGCCATGTTTGAGCATGTTTGAGCCGGAAGGGCGTTTTCCTTGCTTGCAGGTTGGAGGCCATCGCTAGTAGTAGGTTGAAGGCCATTGCTACTAAACGTATTTCATCGTATGTCACTTTTGCAGATTCCCACACAGGACCAGTGGCACCAGAAGTCTTGGACGTTGGCGCAGGTGGACGATGGGTTTCTTGTCTCCAAGAAGCTCCCACTGGTGACTTTTCTAATTAAAGCTTCTTGTTTCTAATAGCAAACATTGTTACTACTAGTAAGGCACTTGTTACTAGAAGCGATGCACTTGTTACTAGAAGCGATGCACTTGTTACTAGAAAATTGATGAGTTGGGCGGGCGCTGGAAGATTCGCTAAAACATATTCTTCTGAGCCTAACAATATTTGTTTGGTCACAGCACTTCCAAGCGCCTCGTATTATGTTGTTTCCTGTGTAAACTGCAAAATAGCATTTGACACATGTCCGAAAGTGCTCCAAACTGCTGTTCACAAAACTATATATGTTTTTTCAGCGATCAGATGCTAGCTTTCCCAGTACACTCAGTATGTTGTCAGGATTAATTCCTGTGAGAGTGAGAGTCCTTCTGTACATATACTGGCACACTCGTAGCTGGATTCACATCAGAGTCACCCCTTCTCTTGGAACAGGAAGTTCTTGAGTTGTCCAGTTGTCCCGTCAGTCCTCAACAAGTCTTCATACTTGCTATGCCAAAGAGCATGCAACAAAGAAAGTGCTCTTCAAACTCTAGCAACTAGCACCACTGCGACCATCTGTCTTGCTCTGTCGCCGTATCCCAGCAAGCCCTGACCGCTGAGTCACCGCAAGAAGCCCAAGAAAACACTTCAACGAGAGAGTCCACATACAAAACGTCCATCATAAAACAAGTTCTATCAATTTTTCACCTTGGGGGGAAGGTTCGTCCACCGGACCAAACCGATGACGAAGACAACGACAACGCAGACCAACGCCCTTGAATTGAACAACGACTGCAGATCAAAAACAGAGTGACCTGCTTGAGAAGCCCAACTATATGCAATTCTCATGAGAAACCCAACGACCAAGGAAAGTTTGTGAGAACCATTGAAATTCAAACAAACAACATTACCCCCCACCTCACCCATCTTCACAAATGTAACAAAACCACCAGGCGACTGAGAATACCGCCAGCAACTATATACGTCTTACTCATTCTTGCTACGAGGCTCGTCTTAGGTAATGTTCTTAGCTTAAGTTGGCTCACTTGACTTGACTCCCTCTTTTTTACAAATTGTGACAAGAAAGCTGAACTATCTCAAGAAAGCTGAACTGTCTCTACATCCAAATCAAGATGACGAGGCTTTGGCAGCTTCTCAGCTCCGACGGCCGCTTGCTCTTCGCTGCCAATGCTGGCGCACAGGCACTGCAGCTCCAAAAGCCCAGTCAGCCTGGCAAGCGACGACACGAGTTATGGCAGGTGCTGCCTGCAGGACCTTTGATTCAAAGTTTTAAGATGAATGAGAAGTGCTGTGGATTTAAAGTTCTGGGGAGTGACCAGTTGTACTAGTGCTTTGAGCTTTGAAGCTATTGATGGATATCAGCATTTTGTGCATCGGATGTGGTGTTTACATTGAGGACAAAATGGGTACTATATTCAAAGCTACTATGAAACCTTCCTCTCTCATTCCGCCGGGAATAGTGCTGCTCGGCTTCGTCTCCAGCAGCTAGTGCGAATGCATCAAGAATCAAGAGCATAGTCTGTTGTGCAAAGCCTACAGACGGCGGCGAAGCCACATTTTGACAGGTTTGGTTGCGGTAGCTCTCAGTTTTCAGTTCAATCGGATGCAGTCGCAAACCTTGGTTGAGGAGTCAACTTGGCATGTGTGAGTGTGTGAGTCTGTGCTGAGCTGCTTTCTTGAGGTATTCATGAGTCCTGCAGCTCGAGCCAATGCACGTTGGTCCATCGAGACTTTGGCAGAGCTGGCGCAAGAGTCCGAACAGCTGACTCCCTTAGACCTGAGGCGTGGGTACCAAGAAACCTGCAATATTGATTGTTTATTCCAAAGACCTGACCTCCAGGGGTGTTGGACATTGAAATGAACAATCTTGACTTTCCTTGCTGGCTCTGTGGGCTGAAGCTAAGAGACCGAGACCGTGGCTTGAGATCGAAAGCAGCGGGTAAGGTTTTGGCGAGCTCGAGAGGGGAACCAAAGATTTCCTGTTTGAAGTTGTCAGAATTGATTTTTGTTCAATCACTACCTGATTCGGTTTGTTCCGCCGCAGGGGGGAAGAAGGGGAAGGCTTGGACCTTCACATGATGAAGCAGTACCTCAGCGCACGACAATGAGATGATGTCAGACAATGAGATTCTCCTGGATTCTAGAATCAGTAGGAATCAGCGACGTGTCTATGGCTGCACACACTTCTTGCTGCGGGTGGTTGCTGCTGGAGTACGGCTTAATGATGCTCATGCGCTTTCATGTCCCCTGAGGTTGATTGTGCAGTTTGCTGAGCTTGCAGGTTGGACAGGGTTACAGCAGAAGCAGTGATAACAAAAATCCTGCTGAACCCGAATGCCCATCGCAGGTCGTTGTGTTGCACAAAACGTGCAGCTGGACATTGACACCAACGAAGATGCAGAACGGAGGCAGGCAGAAGATGAGGCGTGTGGATTGACAGGATTGACTCTTGCGATCGGTGAATTTGCATTCCTGTTTTACCGATCGAGTCTGTAGAGACCCATCCAAGGCCACGGCCTTTCGGCGAGAGTTGCGAGAACGATTCACAAAGCTTCAATCCTGTGACTCCCCCAGAGCTCAGCTGGGTTTCCAGGAGATGCTTTTTTGATGCTTTTATATAGTGGTGTCTCGAGCACGATGAGCTCAGTTCTGGCCAGGACAGCGAATTCTTGGACAAAGCATCAGTGGCACAGGAGTTCATCACACGCCTGGCAGTTCATCTTTTTCCTTCAGGACAGGCCTTAGACTTGGACTGACTGCTTGTCACAGAAAGCCGACTCCATAGAGAAACGACGTTGTCATCAACTATATAGAGAATGCGTTGCATGGACATGCGTTTTCTCTTGTTTCCCAAAAACATTTTGACGTTTCAGACTCAAGACTGCGTCCTGGGCACTTGCCAATCCTCAATTTTGGGAGGCACAGTGAACAAGCAGTTCATGAAAGACTATCGAGCGGCATTGGTCACCGCCCGGGTCAATTTCTTTCCCATTTGCGCTTTCCTCTCACTTCATGTGGAGTACAGCGAGACATGGCCGAAGATAGGTTGAAAGATGTGGCAAAATGAAATCTAAGCAGAGACGTTGAAAATGTATGTTTGACAAAAGCCATCAAAGACTCATTTTGTCCAGTCTGCTCTCCAGGCCTGTGGTCTTGAGTTTTTGAGAATGGATAGCCTCTACTGGTCTCAAAGAAAGTCGACAGAAACTGCTCTTGCAATTCAGCACTGGGGAGAAATGACACGTCCGGTCCTTAGAAATCAACTGATGGTCTTGCTGGTTTTGCTCACAACTGTGCTGAATACCTGAAGAATCTGCTGGATTGTTCTTGCACAGCTTGGTCTCTCAACATTTGCAGTCATTCGATTGATCAGTCAGCAAGTCTGGGAAACATGTTTGAACAACCAAGAAATTAGGACACCCAAAACGGCTGCGGTTCATGTGCGAACCGCTGCCGTTTTCCAGGTCACTCCCATCCAAATCAGTTCCCATGAGTTCCCATCCTCAGATGGCCCTGTGGGATTCAAGCTGTGGCGATGGCTTGCATTGGCTTCACCACAGGCAGATCATGTTTTGAGAAGCTGATCGAGATCAAGAGTGTTTGATCACACCCCTCCCGGCATCACTTTCGCACATGCTTTACAACAAGTCACATTCGTTTTAGTGCCATCCTGATGGTAGAAGGCCACGATCCGCTTACCTTTAAGCAAACGTTGCCAGGTTCTGCACAAGTCATTTGTGGATTTGATCCAGCTCTTCATCGACAAATTTGCTGCAACCTGCCAACGCGACCTGGACAAGGAGGCATCGCTGAAGTGTTGGGAATCCAAACATGATGAACAGGGACTATTCTTCGAACTTTCCACATTTGGATGGACCGATGGACCGATGGACCCGATTCATTCAGGATTATGCTTATATATATAGATATCTTTGCGTTCCACTGGGTTCGGGCTGACATCAATTCTTGTGATGTCATGATTGCAGCGAATAATTTCCGTACATGATGCAAGTTATGTTTATTGTTCATTAAGGCACTATTGGCAAAGACAAACGGAGCGTTTGAGACCAGCATGGGGTAGCAACAGAGAAAGGGAATCATGACTTCTTGTGATGTGCCAGACGCTGATTTGGCATGTGCTGCTCGCTGCCTCCTTGCACTCTGTGGAGCTCTTGGACGCGGTTCCTGTGCTGCTGGAGAAATACAGCGACTGTCGTGATGCAGTGTTGGGGTTTTGCGTCAACTAGAGACACAATCATACACACACACTCGAGATATTGCGTACGGAACTGAGTGAAAAACTTGCCGGGGTAAAACAGGTAGTCGAATCATCAACGTGCCAAAGTTCCAAAAGAAACCCTCCATGAGGCCTCCAAAGCCCTCCAAGTTGCAAAGCTCCAAAGTCAAATGCATGACTGCCGATGCAAACCGGTGCGATGGCCGCAATTCTTGTTTTAGCTAAAGCAGGGGCCAAGTGCAAATTGCTCCGGTATAAACTGCAGGTACACACGAGTGATCAAGGCATAGCTTCGTTGCACTGAGCTTGCCAACCTGCTAAAAATCATTACTTCAACGGAAGCCCTATGACTCCAGGGGCTTCACACACACTTAGATCAAGGCTCGCAAGAGCGGTTGCAGTTATGATCTCCCAGTGAAGCTAGCACTTTACGCTTACTGCAGATTAGACCTTGGCTGGTGAACCGCATGGTGGAGGAGTCCGCGTCAACAGTATTGTTTAACCTGGGTGAGACGGAGAAAGTTCATTAGCACTTTAGAAAGATGTAAAAATGCAGGTACGTTCCTGAGGCGTCCCTCGGGAATGTCACAGTCTCAAACCACCGTCTTCGTTGGGCAGTGGATGGTGAGAGACTCACTGCCAAGGCTCGTGTGTGGCGCAACACAGTCCTTTGGAACAGGTGTTGACACACACACACACACTTAGATCAATGCTCGCAAGAGCTGTATCAGTTGATGAAGTCCCGGACTCAGTTACTGAATACTTAGCGGTCCCGAATTACGGCCGGGCATAAATGGGTAAGTTCCATCTGGAAGCGAGACCAAAGGAATCGCTTCTTCTAGGGTAGACACTAGCTAGAAAAGGAGATGAAGTTTCCAAGCTAGGGGGCGAGACTTGCGAATCGCCCCATTAGAGTAGAAAGGGATCAACAGAAGGAAAGGAACCGACGCACCCAGTTCCGTCTGTTTCCCTGGATAGCAGGCGCAACTGCAGCAGTTTAGTTACTGAATACTTAGCGGTCCCGAATTGCGGCCGTGCGTAATGGGGTAAGTTCCATCTGGAAGCAAGACCAAAGGAATCGTTTCAAATAGGGTGGAACGTAGCTAGAAAAGGAAATGAAGGTTACAGTTTGCAGCTAGGGGGCGAGACTTGCGAATCGCTCATTAGATTAGAAAAGGGTCAACAGAAGGAAAGGAACCGACGCACAAGTCCACCGAGAACCATTCCCTCTGTCAGTGCGTGGAAATGGCGTCCCATTTCCATATCCTCGGATACATCGCCAGCTTCGTTGACCAGGCGACGATGTATCCTGCCTGGCCCCCTGCGCTTTACAAATGAAAGTCCCTTAGTGTGGTCATATTCCTTGGAAACAGGAGTTGACACACACACACACACACACGCCAAAGAAGCCCACCAAAAGAATCCTCCGCGAGTTACTCTTTATGAAATGGGGATCCTGTTCCTCTACAGAATGGGTTGCCGGGGGCCCACTTCGTAAAGGGTGGGACTCGGGAATAGAGGATTCAGTAAGATGCCTAGGTTGGCAGGACATTCTATTAAAAAACGCAGGTTTGGAGGCACATCAAGAGTGTGAGCACAGAAAAGCATCCATGTGGACTGCGGTTAGTCATTTCATAAACACTGCCTGCTTGGTTTAGAACGAGCTCTTTTCCTGCAAGAGCTCTGCAGCAACACCAAACTCCGACGCAAGTCATAGAAAAAGGGATTCTTCAGAGTTCGGTTAAGTCATTTTAAAAAAACTTGGATTTGAGTATATGATGCCATGATACTAGATCTTGTGTGTTTGGTTATGTCTTTTCATAGAAAATCTTGTGTTTGGTCTCTCCTTCAGTTTGTTTCCTGACTTTTTCCAGCTGCTGGTTAGGCCATTTCATAAAAAGGTCGGTTCCTCTCACTCTATAAATAGAATTGCTGGTATTTCCACTTTATAACCCTAATTGCTCAAAAGTTGCAGAGCTCACAGGGCAAGGCGTAAGGTAAGGAGGGTCCAAAAGACTGGTCCTGATCGGGTCTCGTTGTGGAGGCTGCAAGGATCAGTTTCTACAGGAAGAAAGTGTTCATGAGCGTGTTAAACGTGTTACGTTCGCACCAGATGACACTTGAAGATCCTGATGGGCCAGCCCCACTCGCTTTCAACCAAGCAAGGAGCAAATCCCCAAGAAGGACTGGCCAAGCATCACAAGTTGGCAGGATCCCAGGCCTAGCGATTTGAGAGAAGACATCTTGTCCAAAAATGATTCCTTTTGATTTGATTCAGTTTCACTCTGCCAACTCCTTCCTTTTTTGTTTTCCACAGGCTGCTTCGGGCAGAGAGAGCTGATGAGATGTGGATGGTTCTGAAGGCGTTCGTCGCTTGGATGTCCTTAGCACTAGTCAATGCTGATGCTGGTGAGTGAACGCAAAAGATACAAAGAGGCATGATACAGGCACAATGCCTATTTATGGAGAGTTCAATTGCATAGGCCTTTGAAAGTGCTTGAGGTGAGCACGGCTGTGGTGACTCAACGCTTTGATTTGGTGAACAGGATGGTGCATGAAATAGTTTCTCGGTTTCAACAATCAGTCCCAAGTATTTGCTCATTTCTGTTGCAGTGTTCGGCCACGTTCATCACTTCATCATACTTCATCATCATTGACCAGAAAGATCATGAGAGACCAGCACTTGTGTGCTCCCTTCGATCTGTGGTGCTTGTTTACTAAGCCCGAAGTCCTCCGGACGCATGCTTGGATATTGAATGTCATCCGGGAAGATTCCAAGAACTGGTCACTTGGTGCGCAATGGCAAGAGTTCTGTGGCCAGACCCCTTACCATAATGACTGGCCTTCAAAGCCACCAAGGCAACCCGTGCGCATTGGGCTTGGTCAAAGGCCTACGGAGGCCCATCCAAACATGATGGGCTTGACAGCAACGGAATCTCCCATCATTTGGAATTGACACTCTTCAGAGAAAGAGGCAGAGATATCGAGCCTTTGTTTCAACCCCCAGATTGAAAGCGCGCAGTCACAGCAATCACAATTGTGGATGTTGCTTGTGGCGAGTCGACTCCTATCACAGTACACAATGTCAGAGACACGGACTTCCAGAACGCAACACATAGTAGTTCTGCGGTTAAGGAAAACCGCATGTAGACTTCCACTCCCGACCTTTCATGCCCATGCCGGGTATGAAGATATATCAAGGCCATCTTCACTATGTGTGCCGGGAGGGCGAGGAACACTACGACCGAGATACGGATGGAAACGGATGAAGAACAAAAGGTATGGTCACCCCTTGACCGCAAGAACATCGAATAGGCTTAGTCTTACCTTAGCAGAGTGAGTATACTTACTGCACCTTCCTTTGAGAAGTCCGAAGTCCCCAAGCCACGCCTAAGCGCCTTAAGCCATCCTGCAGCCCTGGGCCAGTGCCAGGTCCATGCAACAGACGCACCAACGTCAGAGATTCTCACAGTCATTCCTCCCCAGTGTACTGGCTATGCCATGGTGCAGGCACAGACCGACAGAACTCGACAGACCGACAGAAACATATAGAAACAATATGAAACAATCTGAAACTGATACAGTGCGATGCACTTTTTCTGACTTTATTCATGCATCACCTTGCTTCTTGAATCGGCAGGATATGGATAATTCCAAAGGCCGGGCTTCGAGTTGATTCTTTGTGTGGTCAAGCTGCTTGATTCGTTGGCACTCCGCGCGCATCATTTCCTACAGCTGTGAACTAGACAGACAGAATGTGTTTTTTGACCTTATAACTTATAATACATTGATACCGTATCATACAGTAAATCCTCGTATGTAATATGTAATGCATCGCTCTTTTTGCCACTGGGCGATATCCGGAACTTTAGGTGTGGAATTGGTTGAGATCTGTATACCAATCAATGGCTTTGTCCGTTCAGCCTCTTTGACCAGCTGCACCTTGACAGAACCGCCCTAGGCCAAACCACGAATTCGAGGCATCAGTTCCAGTAGTCAGTAGTCATGCTCCTATCTACATGTTGGTGTTCATTTCAAACAACTTACAATCACGTTTCCTATTATGTTCTTAAAACCTCATCGGAGTTCAGAATTGATTGTCAGGTAAAGCCTTGAGAATTGAGTGCAAAGCTTAGGCGATGTAAGCGAGCTGCCCACAAAGGAAGATCCACCTGCTTGGTTGGAGCTGCTGTCTCTCATGTACCACACCAGGCATCGGTTTCAGCGGGCAAGTTGTCTCCCACTATAGGTGCAAGTAATGCACACAAGTGAGGGGCTGGTCATTCATACATCATATGTGCAAGGTCCAAGCCATAGATTGGAATCCCAATCATTTAGATCTCTAGAGCCCCCTGCAAGCATTGACCACCGACTTGAAACATTGTGAGGTGGCCAAAGTGGGTTACCACTCACATTTGAGCAGATCATTTTTTTGGTTTAATCATGGGTTGAACGTTTGGTGTGGGGATGTCAACAATTATATATATATATACGACATCAACTACTTGCAGTGTAGTGCTTCGGAACCGAGAAAGGTCCACCAACCTGCTGGCACGGTATCAAATGACCCGAACCCCGAGCAGAAGCGACCGGTGGAGTGCTTTCCGTTCAATCTTTTAGTCCCAGCCACAAGCACGGTCCACAGGCGCCAGTACACTGGAAATAGTGGGCCTTTGTTCATGGATGAGATTTCAGCCAAGAAGCTTTGTGATGTGGCCTTGCTGCGCTTTGCAAAAAACCTTTGAAGTTTTTCAATCAGTCTGCGAACGAGCAAGCCGCCTATGTGCTGAGGAAATCCATTTGCGAGAGAAAGCCAGCAGTTTGATCACGCGGTTGGGACATGGCACCTGCAGGACAGATGTGCAGATGTATCATCAGAGGATCAGTGAGTATGTGGCATGTCGAATATGTTCTGCATATGTGTGCCATATTCAACCCACAACTGCGCAGTGTGGTCCACGGGAGCTTCTTAGCCGAGACGGAGTTGAAACCCTGGTGGCCGCCCAAGTACGAGGAGTCTGTTCTGTGCGGTTCTTCTGTTCTTTGCTTCTTGATTCTATTATTTTTTGGTGGTTTGGCATTGGTTGAGCCAAGAGGATTGGGCCTATCACTCCTTCGTGCTTTTTGAAGACGGACATATTGCAGATCCTCAGTCAAGCATGTGGGGTGAGGCAGCCTTGATTATAAGAATTTGGCTGATGGAATTTGATAATGTAACCAGCTCATGCACCTTGACGTCAGTGTGAACAAAACAGGAACCATCGGAAAGCCTTGTAATCGAATGCAAGTCTTAATTTTGAATTTGAGGATCTGACAGCCGATCAGTTTGACTGCTACGTGCCTCAGCTTTGGTATCCAGCAAAGCTGGAGCGCTACGACCGGAGCAGCTCGGCTGCGTTTCTGGGGCGCCTGAGTTCAAGCCTAGCCACGATCAAGGTAGGTCACTTGAGTACAAAGGATTCGTATCTACCAATGTGAATGGTTGGTTGGGTAGGGAGGCATTGGGATTGAAACATAAAGTGACAGATTCCAATCTGGATGCCATGTGAATGTGCTGCGTGGGTCGAAGCATCTTGGCTGGGTGACCAGACGCCCAGATCTGCCACCCTGGCGCAGATGCTGCAGCTTCCTGGTTCAAGGGTGCTATCGGCGCAGTTGTCAAGAGTTCTCGGCCCTTTGCCGGGCTTGTGACGCTCTATCTACACTCTACACCTTGTTTGTGGCAGTTGCGGGGTCTGCGACATACCTGGGATAATGGCCACCAGGCCTATACGAGGAAGAGCACGGCCAGAGACGGAGGAGATGGTCGAGATCACCGGGGCTTGGATCTCCACGGCGCAGCGGATTTCCTCTGACCTGTGCCTCGGGCGTCCTTTGTGATCATCGGCACTAGGAAGAACAAGTCCAGGCTGTGTCTGGCCCATGCGGTTGGGGGGTCGCTTGTGCACCGCGGAATTGGATCGCTTGTGCACCGCAGTATCCCCCACATCAGGCGCAGCGATCCAATTTCGTGAAGAAATACGAGGCGACGTACTTAGGGAATGAAATCCACCGAGAAGCAAACATCAAACATGAAGTATTAAACAAGATGCAAGAAGTTCGGAAAACTTTTTTCGAGCTGGCACCGTACTGGAAAGCGTCAAATGCGAATCAGAAATGGCAACTACTTGTTTTGCTGTGCGGCTTAGAAATGGTTCACCCAACAAATGCTTTTCTTAAGAAAATTACAGCAATGCTGTCCAACTGCGCAGCTTTGAGGAAATCCTCAGGATGGCGCCCACTTCCAGTGACAGAGCCAACGCAAATAGGGCCAGGATCTTCCATTGCCTACCCTTTGAAAAGAATCAACGTGCGTTACACTTTTTTGTGAAAACGATCATGAAAGAAGAGCTTGTTTGCTGGGGCACATCATAAGGGCACAGGAATCCGACCCTCTTCTTCAAGTTTCTTTGGAACCCCAATCAGCAAACAGGGCGCATATGGCAAGAAAAGATGCGGCCGGCCTCGACAAAATTGGCTGCATGGCACAAGAAAATATGTTTTTCAGATCAAACTTCATCTTCAGAACTATGAAGCAGGGGATGCAGATGACAGGCATGTTTAACAAATGCAGCCATTCAAAGAAGTTATTGACGACCGGAACACTCGGCTACGCTTACGCCGTGCTTCTTCTGTCAACATAGTCGGCGCATGGTAAGGCAGCAAAAAAGAATTATAGGACCGGATAACCCCACATGTTCACAACTTCACCAGACACAGGAGCGGACCATTGGTGGTTGGCGGGTGACAATTGGTTGGTGGCAGTTGGTTGGTGGCAGTTTGTGGGTGGAAGTTTGTTGGTGGCAATTGGTTGGTGGCAATTTCCTGGTGGCAATGGGTTGGTGGCAATTGGTTGGTGGCAGTTTGTTGGTGGCAATTGGTTGATGA